ATGGATTTCCAGAAGAGTATTCAAAACTCTAAAGGATGATGCTATCAAAGTGTTGCACTCAATATGTCAGCTAATCTGAAAGACCCAGCAGTGGCCACAGGACCGGAAAAGGTCAATCCTCATTCCAATTCCCAAGAAGGGTAGTACTAAAGAATATTCTAACCATTGAACAATTGCACTCATCTCCCATGCTTAAAATCTTGCATGCTAGGCTTCAGCATTATGTGAACCAAGAACATCCAGATGTTCAAGCTGAGTTTAAAAAAGACAGAGGAATCAGAGATCAGATTGCCAACATTTGCTGGATCATAGAGAAAGCAAGAGAATTCCAGAAAAACATCTACCTCTGTTTCATTGACTATGCTAAAGGCGTTGACTGTGTGGATCATAAAAAACTGTGGAAAGCTCTTAGAGAGACGGGAATACCTGACCATCTTACCGGTCTCCTAAGAAACCTGTATGCGAGTCAAGAAGAACCAGTTAGAACCCCGTATGGAACAATAGATTGGTTCAAGATTGAGAAAGGAGTCCAACAAGGCTGTCTGCTGTCTCCCTGTTTGTTTAGCCTATACGCTGAGCACATCATGAGAAATCAGGCTAGATGAATTACAAGGTGGAATCAAGATAGGCGGGAAAAACATCAATAGCCTCAGATATGTGAATGATACCACTCTAATGGCAGAAAGCAAAGAGGAATTAAAGAGCCTCTTGACGAGGGTGAAGGAGGAGGGTGAAAAAGCCAGCTTAAAACTCAGTATTAAAAATAAAACTAAGATCATAGCATCCAGCCCCATTATTCATGGCAAACATAAGGGGAAAAGGTGGAAGTAGTGACAGATTTCCTCTTCTTGGGCTCTAAAATCACTGTGGATGGTGACTGCAGCCATGAAATCAGAAGATAATTGCTTCTTGGCAGGAAAGCTATGATAAACCTAGACAGTGTGTTGAAAAGCAGAGACATTACTCTGCCAGCAAAGGTCCCTATAGTCAAGGCTATGATCTTCCCAGTGGTCATGTATGGTTGTGAGAACTGAACCATAAAGAAGGCAGAATGCCAAAGAATTGATGCCTCCAAACTGTGGTGCTGGAGAAGACTCCTGAAAGTCCCTTGGACAGCAAGGAGACCAAACCAGTCAATCTTAAGGGAAATCAACCCTGAATACTCATTGGAAGGACTGATGCTGATGCTGAAGCTCCAGTATTTTGGTCATCCAATGCAAATAGCCAGCTCACTGAAAAAGTCCCTGATGCTTGGAAAGAGTGAGGGCAGAAAGAGAAGAGGGCATCAGAGGATGAGATGGCTGGATGGCATCACCGATGCAATGGACATGTACTTGGGCTTCAGGGAATAGTGAGGGACAAGGAGGCCTGGAGTGTTGCAGTCCACAGGGTCACAAAGAGTTGGACATGACTGGGTGACTGAACAACAAAATTCTTAATATCTAAAACCAATGCCTTGGCATTAACAGACACACACTACCATATATAAAATAGATTAAAAGGACCTACTATATAGCACAGGGAACTGTATTCAATATTCTACAACCTATAATGGAAAAAAAGTTAGAAAAGAATAAATATGTGTGTGTATATATACACACACACACACAACTGGATTACTTTGTTGCACACCTGAAACTATAAATCAACTATACTTCAATACAAAATAAAAATTATAAACAGATAAAACCAATGCAGATTTTCCTCCTATTGTGTTGATCGCCCTGACAGGCATGGAGGGAAAGAGGAGGACTTAGATGTCCATCTTCTTCAGAAGCCCTTAATCTTCTCTTTTACACATTCAAGGACTCCTGAAACAATAGTGGCGGAAATGCTACCAAATCTTTCCTCTTCCCTGTGGATGAAGCTATTTAAAATCCTCTAAGTAATACACTCAACCACATGTATGAGTATAAGAATATTATGAACGGAAAGAGGCCAGACACCAGTGAATAAATCCTGCAAGTCACACTGTATGATTCCACCTCTATGAAGCTCGAGAACAGGTAAAATTAACCTTTGATGATAGAAGGCAGAATAGCCATGACCTCTGTGGGGTAGTGATTGACTGGAATGGGGCACAAGAGTACTAATTTTTTTGTTTTCTCTTTCTCTCTCTCTCTTTTTGCCACACAGCGTGGCATGCAGGATCTTAGTTCCCTGACCAGGGATTGAACCCTCATCCCCTGCAGTGGAAGCACAGAGTACTAACCACTGGACTTCTAGGGAAGACCATAGGAGACATTCTGAGGTGACAGAATGTTCTAGATCTTGATCAGGGTAGTGGTTACACTGGGGTATATAGATATAAAAACTGATCGAGCTGTACCCTTCAGATATGTGCATCTTACTGCATGCAAATTATACATTAATTAAAAAAAACCCTTCCAAGTAGATGAGGAAGGTGAACTGGTATAAAACAGAACTGAATGTTCAATGGGTTAAAATGCTTCTATAATTCCTTTTTTAAAATTTTATTTATTATTGTACTAGGTCTTCTGTGCATGGGCCTCCTGGGCATGGGCTTTCTCTAGTTGCAGCCAACAGTGGCTCCTCTCGTTGCAGAGCACAGGCTCGAGGCCCGCGGGCTCAGTAGTTGTGGAGCAGAGGGCTAGTTGCTCTGAGGCACGTGGAATCTCCCTGCGCCAGGGATTGAACCCATGTCCCTTGCATTGGCAGGGAGATTCTTATCCGCTTAACCACCAGGGAAGTCCATCTCTATAATTTATTTTGTGCACATTAGTCAGAAGCTGATTCTTTTCTCAGTCTGAAAACCAAGATTACATAAAAAGATCCTGAAGGACATAGGGACCAAAAGGAACACTTTTTTGTGTTTTCTGAAAAAGTACAGAATGTATTAAGTTCCTTGGGGATACGAGTCACCATCAAATGAACATATTCATCAGGACTGGAGAGTCTAGCCTGGACTGATGAGAGAAAAGGCAAAGTTTTTCTGCAAGAGAAAACAAGCATTAATAACCGGCTGGAGAAAATTCTTCAGACAAATTGAATGTGACAGAGAGGGGAAGGGGCAGGCCTTGTGAGGCAGAGAGTCTTTAAGGGCTTCAGGAGGCAAGAAAGAGGATGATATGCAGCTTGAGGGAGGCATCTTAGGGGCCCGAGGTGGTGCCTTCCTCCCCAGGAGGTAAAATTCCAGGCTGATCTGCTGCACTGCCCTTTGTCAGGGCAAATGCCTGGGGATCAGACCCAGCAAGGAGATTACAAAGCCTAGCTGGGAGGAGCCATCCATGAGCTTGCCCCGTAAAACACGGGTTTCTCATTTGTCATCGTATCTGTCATTTATTACCTATAATAGAGTAATAGTGTTGCTCAGTTGTGTCCAACTCTTAACTGCCCTCTGGACTATAGCTCGCCAGACTCCACTGTCCATGGAATTTTCCAGGCAAGAATACCTGAGTGGGTTGCCATTTCCTACTCCAGGGGATCTTCCTGACCCAGGGATGGAACATGCGTCTCCTGTGGCTCCTTCATTGGCAGGCAGATTTTTTATCACCACACCACCCGGGAAGCCCTGTAATGCTGTATTAAAAACCTCCTCCTAAACTCAGAGGTTTCAAATAGCAATCACTTATTTTTGCTCACATGTCTACAGATAGGCTAGGAGTCAAGGTTTCTCGATCTCAGCACCGCTGACATTTTGGGCCACATAATTCTTTGTCATGGGAGGCTGTCCTAGGCTTTTGTGGGACATTTAGCAGCATCCCTGTCCCCTAGCCAGTAAATACCCACAGCACCTTCCTCTTAGCTGTGTCTCCAGTCATTGCCAAATGTTACCTGAAGGGCAAAATCACTTTCAGTTGAAAACCACTGGTTCAGGTTGAGCTTGGGCTGGACTCACCTGGGCAGGAGTCTAAGTCCAGGTGTCTCCCCTCCTTCAAGGATTGTTGGTTATAGAAGCACAAGGGAGCAAGCCCAATGACACAAGCACATTCAAACCTCTGATCATGTTATTGGGTTAGCCATAAAGTTCATTTGGACTTTTCTATAACATCTTATGGCAAAACCTGAACAAACTTTTTGGCCAATTCAGTACCTCCACTAACATCCTTTTGAGCAAAGCAAGTCAGAGGCCACCCAACACTGATGGAGGGGACACAGGAGTGAGGATTTAGGGAATAATAATCCAAACTAATCCAGCCATCAACACCACCATTGGCTGATAATTGTTAGTCTATTAAGTCCTCTGGGCTTTCCTAGTGGTTCCATGGTAAAGAATCTGTCTGCCAAGGAGACTCGGGTTCAGTCCCTGGGTCGGAAAGATTCCCTGGAGAAGAAAATGGATACCCACTCCAGTGTTCTTACCTGGGAAATCTCATGGACAGAGGAGCCTGGCAGGCTACAGTCCATGGGGTTGCAAAGAGTTGAATATGACTTAGTGACTCAACAATAACAACAAATAAGTTCTTTACCTTTTATCTTAAGTTATCTTAGGGGACACCCAGGGAATGTGATACAATAAGCAGGGAGTGGAAAATTCTCATGAATCAGGGGAATATGATTACATCCTCCTTCAGGATGGATTTTCATTTTTATTCTTCAATCTATGTACAAAGGTTATCTCACTCCAAATAAGAGAGAGCTGGGCTGCAATGGCAAAGAAACTCACTTTGACTTGGAATTGGAAGACCTGAGTTCTAGTCCTTGTTTTGCACTTACTATCTGTTTGATTCAGATAAGGCAATGGCACCCCACTCCAGTACTCTTGCCTGGAAAATCCTATGGATGGAGGAGCCTGGTAGGCTGTAGTCCATGGGGTCGCTAAGAGTCAGACACAACTGAGCGACTTCCCTTTCACTTTTCACTTTCATGCATTGGAGAAGGAAATGGCAACCCACTCCAGTGTTCTTGCCTGGAGAATCCCAGGGATGGGGGAGCCTGGTGGGCTTCCATCTATGGGGTCGCACAGAGTCGGACACGACTGAAGTGACTTAGCAGCAGCTGTTTGATTTGGGGCAAGTGTTTTGACTCAGTGAGACTTTAGTTTGCTCAACTATAAAATGAGGCTATATCAGTTTTTACCCAATAGGGTGAATATAAGGGTTAAGTTACATAATGTACGTAAAATGCACATGGTTGATGGCCTCCAAGATGACTCCATCAATTCCTTCCTCCTATGCACATGCTGCTCCTCTAGAGTGAGATGAGGTCTAATTCCTTTTTGCCCTCACGTCGAGACCAGCTTCAGTGACATGCTCAACTACCAGAAGCCAGCAAAAGTGAAATTCTAAAATAGCTGAAGCTAAGTTACAGGAAGTCCTGCAGCTTCTGCCTGGACCTCTCGAAACACTTGCTTTTGTGATGCTTCTTCTCAGAACCCGCTGTCATGCTGCTAGAAGCCCTAGCCTGTTGGAGGGGTCACACATCATCCCTCTGGTTGACGAACCCAGCTAAGCTCATGGTCAACAGCCAGCATCACCCGCCAGCATTGTGAGTGACCCCTCTTGGACATGCATCCCAGGAGAACCCTCAGATGGTAATGGCCCAGCTGACATCTGACCACAACTGCATGATAAATGCTGTGTAAGAGCTGCTTGGCTGAGCCCAGTCATTGCATGGAACCATGAGGGACAGTAATAGATTATTGGTTAAAGTGACTAAGGGGTTGTTTGTTACCCAGTGTCATGCCATTGTAAGGTATTATTTCAGAGCTATATCACACTACACACCTAGGGGAAACACCACACCCATTCAGCTCAAGCATAGTTATTATGGTGAACAAGAGCTTATGACACTCAGAAGCCTCTTAGTCTGATAATACAGCATCCACTCTTTGCTTTGAAGGAACCACTGGTTTGGGAAGAGGGTTCCCATATGGGGGTGCCAGTTTTAGAAAACAAATACAGGATATCCAGTTAAATTTGAATTTCAGATAAATAATGACTCTTTTTTTTTTTTAAGTTTAAGTATGTCTCGAAATCATTGGGATTTACTTATACCAAAAACAAAATTCTGTGTTTACCTGAAATCTAAATGTAACTGAGTATCCTATATTTTATTTTATGTGAGCAAAACACTACTCCCAAACCTGGTCCTAAAAGGGGGGATGACTACATTAAGCTAATAACGTATTGTATTGCCCTCGCCATGGTTATCACGTTAGGATGGCTGTATTATTCAATCCAGGACAATCAGAAAGGAACTTTTTAGAGGGTTTGTGGGAACTATCTGAGGGGACCCTGTTTCTTTTGTTGAAATGGGATCTCTGTTGACGTGAAGCCCTGAACTGTCACAGTCTGAGGATAGATATAACCCAGAGGAAGCAAGTCCAAAAGACAGAGCATAATGGCCTTGTTTGTGCCCTGGATCAAGCCTTTCCTGAAGCTGCCACCAGGTAGAAACGTTAAGAGCCAGTGCACATTTTCCCCCACATTCCCTTTCCACTTCTGTGGTGACCCTGGAAGCTCATGTTAAGATGAAGTCTCCATGAGCTGGGTCCCTCAGTGACACTAGGCGATGCTGTCCTCTGTGACACTTGAAGGATAGGTAGCATGAGCAAGAAACAAACCTTTGTTGTGCAAAGTTTAATGATTATGTTGGGGTTGTTTGTTATGCAGCATAGTGCCTAGCCTATTTAGTCTGTCTAAGTCAGGTTAGAATGAGAACTAGACAAAAAAATGGTTGGTATTCCCACATACTGAAGTTGAGCTGTAACATTTCCATATGGTAAACATTTTAGTAAAAGGTTTTTTTTTCCCCCTCCCTCTTAATTTATGGTCTTAGTATCTGAGTGGGCTGGCTTATTTTAAAGAGACAGAGGATTCAATTATTTCAAAGAGGTAAGTATATGTCTGTGAGCTCCTGCTGACTGGTGGTGATGAAATAACACGAATTGGGGAATGATAACTGCCAGAAAGTGAGTATCTCTGCTCAGCCTGCTATTTAGGGCATGTTGCATGGTTCACGTCCCTCTGTGTGCCATGCTGAAGATCATTCCCGTTTTCTAGATGAGAAAAGCAAGGTATAGAACAGTTAAAAAAAGAAACCCACCCAAATCACAGTGAGTCAGTTGCATTGTCCAAAAATCTGCTGGATTTAAAAATGTTCAAAATGTGAAAGCTTTTAAAGACTTTCAGGTTGAATGCAAGATTTTAGAAAGCAGCTGGATAATTTTATAGTGTGTGAAACCTGCTGCTAAGATGAATGCAATCAATCTTAAAGGCCTCGGAAAATCACCACAGTCCACAGTAGAGTGTCAGGGTTTTTCGACGCTGTGGCAGGCGTGGGGATAATCATCCGGCCTCACATTAAGTTAGGGTCTCTCTAACAGACAGCAGAGAACAAAAGGGAGAGAGAAATCAACTTGAACACACAGAGGACTTCTCCCCAAGACCAGCGGGGAGGAAGGTGAGTGAGAAGTCACACAGTCCTCAAGCCTGAAACAGAGCCGGGAAGTGGGATGGCGGAGGCGTGTGTGAAAGTGGAGACTTCCTTTCTAAAGGTGCTCAAAGGAGAATATTGCACAACCACACTCAGGAGCAATCCGGATGCTTTAAAACAATGCTGTGCAGAAACTGTTTTAGCTACACCAAAAGCAACTATCTTTTGCTCCAGTCTATGCGAACATCAGTCCATTTCTATTCCAAAAATCTTGCTTGAACCCCTAGGATGTGTTGGAGACTATAGCAAATGTAATCAAGGAGAGGAGGCTAGGATTTACTGAATACCACAGGTTCTGTACTGGGACAATGGTTCAAATTTCCTCATTTAGTCCTGGTAATAATCCTCAAAGGTCTTTTTGCCCCTGTTTGCCAAATGAGGAGACTGGGGCTCAGAAAGAAGACATGACCTTGCCCAAGGTCACACAGTCAGTGGCAGAGGCTCATCTGACCCCCAGTCCATCCTCTTGCAGCTACATCTTGCAGCAGCCGTGTAACCACAAATGAGACACACCTCCTGCAATGAAAGACCTTTTCAGTGATTTGGAAGGAAAGGACACATATTAAGATAATAATTACAAGATTCCAGAAAACACACAAGGCTGGCCTGAGCGGGCAAGAATTCAAGGAGAAAATGAGATTCCCAACTGAATAAATGTTTCCTTATTTATTCTTCCGAACATCATGTGTTGAGAGTTAATCACACCCCTGCTCTGTGGCTTGTCACCATCATGGGTCTGTGACAGCCTCTTTCTTATGTATTTATTAATTAATGTACTCGCTTTTCTCCTCGTTCCCTTCTCCCAGAAGCAATCCATCCTCATATATTTCTTGGGCATCTTTTTGCTTGAGTATGTTCTTGCAAAATGTATATTGTTTGGCATGCGGGTTTAAAAGATTTACATAAATGATATTATGCAGAATACCTCATTCCTTTTCCTCACTCCGGGCTCGACTGTTAGGGTGTATCTGCGGAGCTTCGTGTCTATCTAATGTGCTGATGCCGAGAGCTGCGGCAGACTCTGGCTGCGTGTCCCCACACCTGCCCACCCGCTTCCGCAGTGATGGACACTGAGACAGTGCCCAGCTCCCCACCTCTAGGACCCCACTGCAGTATCTTTCTTTGTACATGTCTTTTTACAGAGCTCTGTGAGGCTGTCTTTGGGCTATCTGCCCAGGAGTGGAACTCTGGAGTTTGATATGTTTAATTTGACAGTCATGTCAGATTGCTGTTCAGAATTACACCAGTCTGCCTTTCCCATCAGCCTTCCCTGAGAGTTCTTATAACCTCTTATCCACTCTGACACATGGCATGTATCTAATTTTTCCTAGTTTAATAGGTGTGAAATGACATCTCAAATTGCTTTAATTTTAATATCTCTAATTATAAATGAGTTTATGTAAAGCATACAGTCTTTTTTTAACTGCCTACTGTGTGCTGTGGGTGATCTGGAACCAGCAGGTGACGTGGTCCGGGATCTCACTAAGATTTCACGAGGGTACAAAGCAAGACTGAGCTTATAACAAGAGAGGCATTAAAGGTGAGAAGACAGAACAGTTTGCAATGAGATTGAGAACATCACTGTCCAACACTGATAATACATTGGCAAGCGCTGATTGAACCTCTTGGCCCAATGCACCAACACATTTGAAGGACCAATTTACGTCTGACCATCCTGGAGTGAAATCAGACAATTAGAATCTTTTGTTAAAGAGAGGAAAACTCAATTTGAAAAGACTAGAACTTTACCAAAAGGTGAATTTGCTTTATCAAAAAGCCTTATCTTCAGCATCCTACTAAGTTGCTAATTGTGTTGCTAAAGAAATACAGCCATAATTAAAGAGACATCATAAGGCCCCACTGAAAAGTAGCCTGAGTTAACACAGACTCTCCTATCAATAGAAATTGTAGATAAAATATTACAGTAATAATACATAGTTGAGTTCACAAAAAAGAAAGGGAAATCTCTGAATGTCAGACATGAAGAGAACATGGATGGAATGGTGCCACAGTGGCCCGTAGAGATAACAAACCACATACAGGCCTTGGTCGATCGAGTTGTTATGCCCTAGAAGACTGAAGTTGTGACCCTAAGCTCATGGGAGGTGGTTGCCTGGAATCAAGACCCAAGTATAGAGCTGTGAAACTGGCATGGGTTGTCATCGTTGGGAAGGAAGACAAGAAATTCTTTCCAATGGCTCAGGGGAACTGTAAGGAATTTTGTCTTTATTCAGGGTCTGGGAAGAAAAACTGAAACCCTGAGCTTGTGTCAAGCATGGGGCAGGAGTCCCAAGGCAAGAAATTAACACCAAATTCTGTCCCAGTGCAGCAGCAGTAAATGTAAAACCACTCAGTAGAAACAGTTCCAACCCGGGATACATGGTCCTCATACTGCAGAAACGATCCCCACTAAGATGAGCTCAAAACTTTAAAATGAAAAAAACCACATCAAGAAATAATCCATCATAAATAATGGAGAGTAAGATGACATGACAAAAAGAGATGATTAAAATGCATTGTGATGATTGAAATGCATCTCTTTGAGAGATGAGAGAAATGCATTACAAGGTGTAACATGTGTCTAACAGGAGGACCTAGCAGGAAGAAGAGTGAACAGAGGAATGAAAAGAAAATACTCAGAGATGTTGGCTTGAGAATCTCTCAGAATTGATGGAAAGCATTAATCTTCAGATTTAGGAAACAAAGTATGTTCTGATCAAAAGAAAGCAAATCCATACTTCAGATACATTGCAGTGAAATTACAGAATATCAAAGAGATAGTGAAAAGCAACCAGAGATGAAAGACATATTTGCCTGTAAAGGAATCACAGCTAGATTCAGAGAAGATTTCTCAACAATGCCATGAAAGTTCAGAAGATGCTGGAATTATATCTTACAAGATCTGAGGGAGAATAACTGCCAATCTAGAATTCTGTAGTGAATTAACTATTAAGCAAGGGTGAAGGCAAATAAAGTCATTTTTAGAAAAAAGATATTTTTCCCCTCTATCTCAATTCTTTAATAAGTCCTACTATTGGTAACATAAGCAAGAACAACATTTTAATTAAATACACACTAATTACACTAGCATAATGCATGTCTGTTACAGAAAGAAGAATAATAGGGGATATTATGCGATTCAATCAATCACCACTGTAAAGAATTCAAATAGAAAAGTTCCAAGCAGAAGAAACCAATAACTAGTAGGTTACTACCACAGTATAATTTTCAAGGAAATATTTTTAGAAAAATAGTTATTGACAAAATTTACTAGTGAAAACTACCGAAGGGCAAGCATACTTGAGTAAATAGCTAGAAAACACAGGAGGAAGAGGATCCTATGGATAGATCTACAGAGAAGTTTCCTGTTTTTTTTTAAAAAGGAGGCAATAATGGTAACAGGATGTAGGCTGGTAAAATATTGATAGGTTCTAGACTGTGAAATTAAAATTGTAAGTGTTAGTCACTCAGTCGTGTCTGCCTCTGTGACCCCGTGGACTGTATCCTGCCAGGCTCCTCTGTCCGTGGAATTCTCCAGGCAAGAATACTGGAGTGGGTTGCCATTCCCTTCTCCAGGGGACCTTCCCGACACAGGGATTGTACCCGGATCTCCTGCACTGCAGGCAGATTCTTTACTGTCTCAGCCACCAGTGGAAGGATAACCTCTAAAAGAATATGTGTTACAGATAACGTCCAAAGTAGTTGAAGGAGAGTCAGCGTGGCCGTGAGCTGGCTGACGGCCTGGAGCCAAGGAAGAAATGTAAGACGTGCCCCCCGGAGGGCATCCTCATCCACTCCAGAACCACAGACGTTTCTCCTAACAGCACCGAGGCAGGTTATGAGGGGACTGATAACTGCCCCATTCTTTCTGGCCTGGCAGCTGGACAAACTCACTGCTCTTTTCCCTGGGGAGCCAGAAGCCCGTTTTCACCTCTAATATGCACTCTGACACCATCAAAGAATTCCTATTTTGTGAGCTCCTTTGGGTAATTGCAAAAGCAGGCCACATCTCTGAAATAATAAAAGTTTCTTTGCCAAGCAAAGAATATGTAGACCAGGCTAGAGGTGACCTCCCTGACATGAGTACAAAGGAAATGGTGCGGACTGAATGCAACTTAAGGAGCCTTGGGGAAATCTCGTGCTCCTAGACATCAGGCCACTCTCACTGGGCAAAGTGACCCGCAGAATCTCTGATTCCACACGCTTCCACTTACCTTTGTAAGTCCGGTGTCCATCGCCATCAAAACCAAACCCCGGAATTGATTTGGTGTCAAAGATGGCATGCACACTGACCCACAATCTCAGCTGCTTATTCCAGCTGGCAGCAACAGCATTGAAATTTCCTTTTGAGTAAGTGAAAGGCTACTTTTCCATCTTATTTTGCACAACTCTGAGCATTTTGCTTCTAGAAAATGATCATTTATTTTACATTAAAAAGCTGAGGCAAAAAGACATAACCTTCTGTAAGGATCACATTCATAAGTGCATTGAGTTGAAGGCAGTCACTTTCCACTGCAATAAGATGAATTCCACAAAACGTTGTGCGTACATATTTATAAATTTGAGGGAAATGGAAATATAGTTTTCATCATGCTCTTAGAGACATTTATAAGCAAAATGAAGTTAGAAGCACCTAAGATATGAATTCTAACAGGAGGGGCAGGTGGGGGGCATATTGGGATCTTTGGGTGAAAGGGGGCAAAACTGCATATCACCTTTAAAAAGCATATTAATATGCTACCTTGAGTTGGAGAAAAGAGTGGAATGGCTTCCACCCTGGAAAGAAAATTTCCCATAACTCATAAAAGTTACCTATGTAAGAGCTTTTGTGCAGAGAAGAAAACAACGTTGAGAAATACTGCTCTAAGGTGTGATTTAACTTCTCAAATGTGATTGACAGGCCATTCACAATTACAACTCTTCGAAAGCTACAGACAGAAAGAAATATTGTTCCTCTCCTCCTTACACTTTTGTTCTTTTCAAGAGCTCCTTCCAGGTTTCCTGAGAAGCTTTTCATTCCCTCATGTGTCAATAGTGCAGTGTGGTTTCAGTGGGCGCCCTGTGAGCGAGGCTGAGTCCTGCCCTGCTCAGGGGGTACAAACACTCATTGATCCATTCAGCAAACAGGTATCCACGCGAATGGTGCCAGGCCCCATTCCAGGCACAGAGGAGATGGCCAAGGACAAGGTGTGCAGTAGCACACAGGTGTTTAAGGACATTCAACGCAGTGAGGGAGTGTGTCACACAGGGTTACTAAGGGATGCATGGTGACATCACAGTTCAGTGCTGCTCACAGATGGGGCGGCAGGGCTGCCTGGTGTTGTGCGGGGATGTGTGGGGCTGGGAGTTCCTGGTTGGACAGTGAAGAGCAGCATCACGTGGGGCTGGGCAGTGCTGGGACCGTGTGTGGTGGAAACGGTAGATCAGCATCATCATGCCTGAGTCCCAGGGTAATGAGACCAAGGCAGGATCTTATAGGAAGAAAAAGCACTTCTTGGGCTCTTTCCGAGGCTGAAAAGGGCAGTCGGGCACACACCCCAGCAGACCCTGTACCACCCACCCCTCCACCTGGCACAAGGAAGAGCTGGATCTGTAGTGGCCGCCTGCCCACACAGGCCATGGTCCTTTCAACAAATTGTCTCCTCTCTCAATCCTGCTCTTACTCTTCTCGATGACCCTTGCCCTTTCATAAATGCAGCTCCAGAAGCCTCCGCTGCTGGGTTTCAGCAGCCGTGGACACCTAGTCGATAGCTTTTCATAATGATTTTTCTCCCCAGCAAGCCCAAAACTCTTCCACTACAACACACCTGGACTGAACTAAACAAGGATGTCAAAGCAACCAAAGAGGCAATTTATCGTTTATTATTTTTAAGGATTCATCCCACAGCTGCCATAAGAGATAGGAGCCTCCGCCAACTGTCAAAAAAGCCTCTTTGATCCAACATTGCAGGGGATATTGAATATGAAGGTTGGTGCTTGTTAGGTCTGCTGGGAACACATTCCAGTGGAATCCAACATGGCCCATTCAAAAATCCCAGGTCATGGGATGTTGCATCCTGAGTCCCAACTGCATGATGGATTTTTGCTCAGAGAGATTCCAGAGCAAGACAAAGGAGTTTTAAGTCCATTTTCTCCAAATTCAGTCATTACAAACAACTCCCACAATCCTGGCCATATTCTTGCACTATTGTTTATTTTCTATTTCTCCTTATAATCCACTCAATGTTTTTGCTTACATAAATAAATTTTTTTAGGTTAAAAAAACTTTGTTAGGACCATAAATGGAAAAATAGTATCTCTTGCCACAAATGGTAGGTAACTGTAAAAATAAGTACAGACAAGAAAAAAAGAATAAACTAACTATGTAGTGTTACAATGTTAGAAAGGTGTTAAAAACCTATCAACACCAAGCAGATCTTTTCCTTGACTCAACTGGAATGAGGAATGGGTGTTGAAAATGGAATGTTTTTACCATGTGTTTAGATGTGTGTAACAAGAGTACATATCATCTCAAATCACCTCAATGATCACTCCAAACTACCTGGTTATGACTTGTTCTCCATTCAGGTTATACAAACCTAGTCTAACTCTCCAATTCAACAAATGAAAATATGGACCCTAAGGGCACACAAGTCATCCACCCAAGATCAAAGGCAAGTTGATGAACTCAGGGGAACTAGAACATGGGTTTCCTAACCCCAGATCTCAACTCTTCAGATAACAATACTGGACTAAGCTTTCCTTCCTTCAAGGCTCAGGACCTCCGGGCGTCACACACTTCCCCTTGGAGAACCAGACAGGTGTCATCAGTCTAGGAAGGCTCAGCTGATATCCCCTGGCTGCCTGAGGTCAGCACTGCCTGGACACGGTGGAGCACAGAGTCCTAGGAACAGCTAGCTGACCTGGCACTGAGCCTCAGGGATCCTTCTGGAGGAGAAAGACTGGTCTGAAAGATTCCAAGCAAACAGAGAGACCAAGATGGGGCTGACAGCTGAAACTTCCATCCAGACCAAGCTCAACCTAAAAAACTGGGGGGGGATTTGAAGCTCATGACTGAGGTGTCAACACAGTGCAGCAAAGTAGATCCCTGGTCTTTGGGGGTTCTCCGTGTCTGCTGCCAGAGAAAGGAGTTTGGAACAGAAAGTGGCCGGAGAGCTTGACTCCTTTTTGAGCTCACAGGCAAGAGCACACGGGTATGTAACAGATACATTTTGAGCCCCGCTTCACTTCCCTTCGCCCACCTTGAATTTCAGCAGCAGCTAAGATGGACAGTTTCTCTGAGTCCTGACATTACCCCTGCTCACTTGCCTCTCACCCAGGGTAGTCCAGAAAAAAAGCAGAGGGAGACACCTCTTGGAGAAACTCTTAGCCAATGGCTCTCATCTGGAGAGACGATTCTGAGGCACTTTCTAGATAATTCCTTAGAATTCCTCGGATTCCCCAGTAGGCCTGAGTTCAGGTCACCACCATGCCAACAAGCTATTTGCAATTGACTCTCCCCGCTTGCATCTGTGCCTCTGTCCACTGTCGTTCCTGCTTTCAGGAGTCATCTCCAAAATAGGTCACCTGTCTACTACTGTAGTGAAAAGATAAAGGTCACCAGATGCATGGAAGGATAAAGTAGCTCACAAATCAGTGTGAGAAATAAGAGTAGACATTAAGAAAGAAAGACAGTTGCTACAAGGAACAAAAGCAATATTAGAAAACCACTGGCTGCATCCTCAAAAAGACTCAAAACACCCTACATCTGTTCAACTGTGGACAGGGAATAATCTAAAGTCAAAGAGGAAAAGAACGGAAAAAATGAAGCAATTGGTAAAATAAAAGCCAAAAAAGGAGATGGGACTCCAGATTCCACATTTCAAGCTACATAGCAATGACTAAAACAACTCAAGAGACATCACAGAATTCAGAGACAAAGGGAAAGTGATAGAGAAAAGTGCTATAGAGGACAAATCTGTAAAGTTTATTAAGAATTTAATGGGAAATCCAG